AATGGACAAGTGTTTCGAGTTGTTGAATAAACAGCCAGAGTATATCAAGTTCACCCGAGAGAAACCGAAAGAAAAATGGCTTCCATTTCTGAACGTCCAAATTAACCTATCAGAAAATGGCTACATTACGAAGTGGTACCGAAAGCCAAGTAGTAGAAACATCCTGGTACATTACCTTCCTTCTCACCCCTCTCACAGGAAAAGAGTGCTTGTAAGAAACATGTTTCGAACAGTAACCAACGTGTGCACGGGAAGAAAGCAGAGAGAGGAGTCCCGGAACTTGGCGCGGCAAATAGCCATTTCCAACGGCTACGAAGCTGTAGTTCGGGATAGGTGTAGGGGAAATCGGAGGCCCCTAAACGATAACTCTAGCGACAAAGAGGTCCCATTTATCCTATCCTTCATCTCAAACGATGTGAGTGCAGCTATAAAACGCTGCTTAAGAAGGGCGGGTCTAGAGAATTCGGTAAACGTAGTTGAAATGTCACCGAATAATCTTAGGCGCCAGCTAGTTCGTTCGTATATGACCGTCTATGTGCAACGCAAAATTGCATAATTTAATCGACATTGAAAAAGTTAGGCAGAAAAGTAACTGGGAGGAACACAACATAGCAAGTTCTTCGGTGGTGCTGTTTGTAATACGCGAGCCCCTAGAAAGGATATCGTGGTTCGATCCGGTTCAGGGTCCAAGTTTTGCGAAGATCTCTCCATCGTTGTGGTTATTTCGGTATAGTCTGTATCCTGTTTCGACACCCGGAAAATCTGATCAGGTTGAGGTGACTATTCACAGTCGGCAATGCTACAAATTAATTCGTTTACTATTACGTTTACTGTTGCTTCCATCGCAATGCAAAACTCTTTAAATTTTCCCTAAAATTTTAAAATGGTTTTGTTTCGATGTGAAGTGCTACAATTGTAATTTTTAGTTCATGGGGCATTGTGTTTTTCATTCTATTGCAACGTTATGCTCAAAGCTTTCGCCATCGTCACCGGAATTTCAACACGCATGCAATTTGTCGGGTATTTTGGGCCATATTAGAGTTGTTTGTTTTCTTATTGGTACATTGAAAGGTGTGTAGTCAAGTAACTGATATTCGAACCGTTCAGGTGCTGCTGATACTGCGCATATCATAGCGACTTCGTACCTTTACAATCGTGAGTACACCAAATGCATTGAGTTTTGTGGCTCGGTTAGTTGCGTTTCCAAGAGAATGTTATAATTTTTATTTGTTTCATTGACTATTATTTCAGGAACTATTTAAACGCGAGAAGAATGAGCCGCAGCTTTTTGCTGCGACAGTGGCTGCTCATTATCAGGTATTCCTTTGTCAGCTCTTTATCCTTACCGTGTAGGTATGTGAACGACTAGGTAGCTGTTTGCTTACTGATTAACTTTGTTATTATTGATTATTCCATATTGAAATATGCCCAAAAAGTTCCTTTTGCAAAACTAGTTTAGAGAACTCATGCACCTACCGAGGGAAACCTCCGTTCCACTTGGTCCAGTTCCACCATCGAAAGGTACCAGGAACATGCGACGCCCCACCCACGGCCGAGCCGAAACCAAAATCCTTCGGTAGCACCTTTGGGGTATCTACAGGGAAACCCCTATCGGCCGGGCCATGTAACATGTGACCACAGCGTTTATTCCTGCCATCTGGTTTATATTGCGGACGGAGTTTTTGTAGCAATGCCTCAGTTCTTTATTGTCGAAGTTTCGCTCATTTTCTACATGCATTCTGGGAATGAACGTACATAACAAATGAGTAGAACCGCGCGAGTCACCTTTTAAGTCAATGGGAGTGTATGAGGAATTGATTGCTCGAACTTAGAAATCTCTTCAGATTTCAACATTAATCGTAGACTCCGGTTGGAAATCTATGGTTACAAATATTGTTTCACTTAAAAGGATGCTGAGGTATTAACAAAACTGAGAACATCGGGAACCATTGTACTCTACCGTAGAAAAAGAATAAGAGTAAGTACCCTGACATAGGAAAAGGTTAAGCAGTAAATGAAAGTTAAAACATTGTGATTTCGACTGTAGCTTCAACCAAGATTATTCCCGTTGACCGGTTGTTGATAACATCGATGGAGTAAAAACATGGCTGGGAGAAGGGCAACCTAATGGCCTCAGTTTGTATGGTGGATAGCATATAAGCTTTCAGAAAGGAAGTTCACGTGTTCATAGCCCATCTGAAGTTCCGAGTTTTGCTCATGTATCAGAAAACTTACTGTTGTCTTTCATAAAGTACTCTCCCATGAAAATAAAGGACAGGCACTTAAAAGAAGTGGAAACGTTTTAGTTCACTGTTTTCTGTCTTCAATTTCACTTGAATTCTGTTAAGCTAGCAAAAGTTTCGTCTGTTATGCAGTCAGCCGTGCGTTTTATACCGATTATCATCAAAAACAGTTGGTGGTTACCTCATTCCGCTATAACGAATGGTGGAGTTGATATGGAGGTTCGCTGTTTTGTTGGTTTTTTGAGGGTTCTTCTAATAGACGAGTTGAAAAAATGGAATGCTCAATACCTACTGTTAGCGTCACTTTTAGGTCACGATGATTCCTCAGTCACATTGAAATGTTTCAGGAGCCTTTCTGGTTCATTCGTTGTTCAGCGGCTGGTCATTGGCTTTGTACTGTGCTATTGAATACTCTTCGACCTCTTCTCACTGAAACTAGTGACAATCTACTAATTTCGACCATTTTATTACTGTCACAAGTCGACTTTACCTCAGTCGGGTTTTCTGCGTTCAATGAGGCGATCTCAATAGCAGAAAATAAAGTACTCGCCTAGAAACTACACCTGAAGAACGTTATCTGATGTGCTTCCAAATCAAATACATATTGTTTTCTTAGGAATCCTTCAAAAGCATTGACATATTCGAATTCATTGGTGATTTAGCTGTTATGGATCGAATAGTGTTTATGGCTTCTTCGCGACCTGAATGCTTTCTCCCGGAATCAACTGAGGAGTGAGTACCGTTTTTGCCATTCATTTAATACGGTAATACATCTTGCGAGCACGTGCTATTCCCCGTCTTGTCTACCTAAATTCACTTTAACCCAAGCAGAAACATCGCACCATGTAATAAAGAACGGGATGTAAGTATCTTTTAAATGACACAATAATCAATGGTTTTCGAAAAAATGATAGACTGACTGAATTCCTCACTATGGTCCAGGAAAAGGAAATTACTAAGTAGTTAAGATCATCTTTTGAGGCTAGGTGTTCAAACAATACTGCCAGTTTTGTTCAATTTTATAGATCTATTTTTATATTTTACACGATCTATCTTCATATCTACCGTGTAGATCCTAGAATTGGAAGAATTATAATCCTCTGAATGTCGTCGAATTCTGTTCGACACGATTCTCTTTGTAATCCTGCGATACACGTGCTAGGGCGTTCTCAGACTATTGTAGGCACTTACTAGCTTTTGTAGATTGAAAAGTGCAAGTTGGTCCATGACAAGTTTGATATCAATTTACTGACCCCGGGGAAATGGGTGACTTGGTTGTTTCGAGACGCGGTCGTATCAGGGACCTCGTGTTTGTTGAAGGCCATCACCTTCATTGCGTTACCTGCATTTCATTGTTCATTCGTGAACACATACTAAAATATTATCGATCACCAAACGGAAATATGAGGAAATATTGAGGTTCTAAAATTGTGGTCCTATTAACTCTGCAAGTGTCAGATCAAGAACATCACTGTATTTACTGAAATTTACGAATTTTAGTGCACAGACAGAACTCCAGAAAGTCATTGAAGCTCGTCTAAAAGTGATCGACGAAGCTGAAAAGATTAAGCTGACTATTATATATCTGTCAAAAATTGGTAATGACTTTGTTCGGCTGCTGCAGTCCACGGAGAAATCTTGACGATAGTAATTTATGTTCATATTGTTCTTTTCATTCTCATTGTTTTGTTGACCCACTTTACTGTCCAACACCAAAATAAATTTTGACACTGGTTTTTAATGTTTTGTTCTGAAACATGGGTTCACAGTATACCGACCGAGGAATCATAAGGAAACATTGATTTAATATATCTTCGAATAGGGTTGAATAACCACTGCAGAATGTGGATGGATCAATTAGTTACAGGCCAAAAAAGGATAAAGCTCTCGGCATTGATCAATCCCTGAAGAGTTGAATAACCACTGCAGAATGTGGATGGATCAATTAGTTACAGGCCAAAAAAGGATAAAGCTCTCGGCATTGATCAATCCCTGAAGGATGCACCATGCATTCGACTTCGTTAAGAATCGTTTGGAGGGTTTGAATGCATATCCGGCCTTTACAATGACTCGTGGTGGCCTACTGATGTATCGAGCGAGTGCTTCTGTCCACCTAGACAAGTATGGTACCAATTTACTGATCCCGGAGGGATGGAAGGCTTGGTGGGCCATGAGCACAAGGATCCATTCCACGTATGTGTCGCAAAGGCGCCTCCAACCACTGTGCCACACGAGGTCAGAGTTGTTATGTTCTTTATTTTTTTAAATGTGGAGTTTCTCGTTTCTTAACAACCCAACTGGACAAAAGTTAGGGCTGTTGATTTCCTAGTATGCACTGTGATTTTCAAGTTCATATACGCTTTTGTTTAAGTGTGTTTTAACAGTGGTAATTGGATTAAGGTAAGTTAACCATGAATCACAGCTAAGCACATTTCGGCTTCCTCGGAGCATTTTGAAGCTTTTCGTCCACTGCTTTTAGAAAATATTCAGTCGAACGAAGAGGTGCCCCAAAAGACAAGAAACACATCGCTTTTCTCGACAGGTAAAACAGTGTTTAAAAAACGTTTATCACCTGTGTCACCTGTAGTCCTTTTGGTCGATGAGTGACTCGAGCGGGCGCCAGTAAATCGTCCATTTTTCCCTGCCTCGTGAAGAGTAGCCCAGTGGGTTCTGCTTGCTCTAAGGACTCGTCGAGCATCATATCTTTCTTCTAGGCTCTTCGTGAAGAACTCTGACCATCGGATCGGTGGTCTTCCTGCAGTATGCTTGACATCCCGAGGAATCCGGTCACTAACGGCTTTTGTCCAACGGTTGTCATTCATACGCATTACGTGTCCGGACCACCTTAGCTTCGACTGCTAGATGTACAGAACGGCATCTTTGATTTCTGATCGTTGACACAGATCGGAGCTTTGGATCCTATCCCTTCTTGTGTGAAACGGGATACTCCTAGCATCGTCCCTTCGACTGCGCGTTCGATAACGCTGAGTGTTCTTTCATTCTGGTTACGCATCGACCAGGTTTCTGACGCATACGTTACGGCGGAAAGTACCGTTGAGTCCCAAAGGTGGGCACGAACTCGAGTGTTCTTTGTTCTCTTCACTACATCCTCGATGCTCTTGAAAGTTGGCCAAGCCGCTCATTTCCTGCTGCTCAACTCTTCCGTTCAACATGTTGATTTCGCGACCTATATAGACATAACTGGAGCATACGAAACCAATCCGTTCCTCATGAACATCGTTTTTTTGAGATCTTTCTGGAGGCTGGCGGTAAATAATTTTGGCCAGATGGTATCGCCTTGCCTAACTCGTCCTTTGACGTCAATGTTAATATCGTAGTGGAATGGTGATATCTTTGTTGTGAAATTTTTGTACAACTCACGAAGAATCTTTATGTACTGCGTAGGGACTCCATGAGTATCGAGGGTTTCCATGATTGCTTCTATCTGAATTGAGTCAAAGTTCTTTAAATCGATGAAAGTGAAACAGAGTGGTCTTTTATGCCCTCGCGATACTTCAATGGGTTTTGTTATCGTGTGGATGTGATCCATCCTACTAAATCCTTTTCGGAACCCTGCTTGCTCACATGGCTGTTCGTTGTCCAGTGTTCTGTCAATCCTGTTTAGGATGACTCGAGTGAAAAGCTTGCAGACGATAGGCAGCAAGCAGATTGTGCAATAGTTGCCGATGTCGTGGAGGTCACCCTTCTTTAACATTAGGACGGTCTTGCTGGTCTTCCATCGAATAGGCACCTCGAATCCAAACAGATAACGTGTGAGGAGCGAAGCCAGTGTGTTTACGAGAACTGGCGGAAGGTTCTTCAAGTGTTTTGGTCTTATTCTGTCCGGAACTGGTGCTGTTCGATTTTCCACCGACGAAATGACATGTCGGATTTCGGAACTTCCTTTATTTCATATGACGGAAGGTGGACTTGGCTATCGAAGAGATCCGAGTAGTACTCATGAATGATTTTCTCCATTGCCTTTCTGGACGCTGTAACTGTTCCACCTGGACGTCGGAGTGTAATCGTCTTGGTCTCGTAATTGCCGTTTAGCGGCTCTTCCTCCTTTCCGCGAGAAATAGAGTCTTACACGAAGCAGATGTTCGTCTGATCCCGTGTAGAATTTTGGGACAACGGCGACATCGGTTAGGCAAAACCCTCCATTTACTATGATGTGGTCTATTTTGTCATGGTACTCTCCATTGGACGACTCCCACGTCCAGCGTTGAGGGTGGGACTTCTGGAATTGCGAGTTAGCATGGATGGTCTTGGTCGCCATGATAAACTCTGAAAGCCGCTCACCCTGTTCGTTCCATTCTAATCCGCGGGTCCCAGTGTGACGTTCTTCAGACGTTCTTCTTGGTCCGATCTTCGCGTTGAAATCTCCAATGATGACCTTGAAGAATGTGTGGTCTTCTCTGGTAGAACTTCTCCAAGTCCATATAGAACGCTTCCGCTTCTTCTTCGTCATAATTTGATGTCGGCGCGTAAACGACGAAGGTTGTCAAAGGTATTGACCCACATCTTTTTAATCGTAAACGTCCTTTTGGGTACTCGTCCTACCCAGCGCTGCGAAATTGTGGGCTCTTTCGGGGTCAGGGGAGTGAGGCCAACTTTTTTTAACCGTTAGCTTTTGGATACTTACGTACAGCTTGCTGGGCTCTGAACGTGAGGCTGCGTATACTCACGGGTAGCTTGCCAGGCTCTCCCAGAGTGGACATGGTGCTTATTTGTTGGAGGCGAATCCTAACCGCCTCCCATATACCTCCCTGTCACTTGATCGTAGGCTTTTGGCCGAATTAACTCGTAGAATGCAATCCGCATAAACTAGAACGCACCCACACACGCGTGCATGAATACGCCTCGTAAATACAGGAAGTATGTGCCAAATCGGAGCAGCAGAAACAGTGGGTCCATCCCTAGATCCACCTGCGTCTCAGGGAAGCAAAGGTCGCTTTCGGCCCGCGATTAACCCCTATCCGCCACCTGGGGCGCCCCACGTAGCCTCGTAACTAACCGGCTATCGGGATCCCTCATATGAGGGAGATCTGCGGGGTTTCTTCTATAACAGCAGAATTCCTGGGATAGTGATAGTTCCTGTGATTGCCCAATCCACAAGGCAGCAAAGGCAAACTTTAGCAAGCTTTAACTGAATTTACTACAGATCCTAACAAATTCTAAGCAGCATTTGGTTTTTCTTTTCACATTACCATTTATAAGGAGAACTCATGGCAAAATTTCTTCGCCCCGTTTTGGATTCATCTTTTTACGATTAAGCTTTTCCATCGATCTCTTACCATACCCATAGGAAAAGAGGTTCTACAGGGCGACACAATATTTCCAAAGCTGTTCAGTGCCGCACTGCAGTCGATAATGAAGTCACTCGATTGGAATGAAAAAGGCATACGTATTGATGGAATATTCCCATCAAATCTTCGTTTTGCCGACGATATCGTCGTCTTTTCAAGAAGTACAAGCGAAGCAGAGGTGATGATCAACGAGCTCAAGGAAGCGGAGAAAAAGATCGGACTGCGCATAAATCGAAATAAGACCCAATTCATGAAAAACCCATGGTGCGAAGGCGAAAAAATAGAATTGGATGGCTCTCTCATTGCAGAGATAACCTCGTAAGTATACCTTGGGCGATCAATGAACATGGAAAACTACATGAAGGAGGAACTAGATAGAAGAAGGAGAGCAGCTTGGGCCGCATTCGGGCCTCTCAAAGAAGCCATCGACCAACTGAAGGACCCGGAAATCCGCGCTCATCTCTTTGTCATCTCTCCGCTCGCACCGCGCATCTCTCCAATAAGTTAATCATTTGTCCGACTTTGTGCTCGAACTTCTTTGCATGTTCTGCTACCTCAAGAAGCTCAGGCATCACGTGTTCATCGTTGGGGATGAAGATGTAAAGAAGCCTGACCTTCTCTGCTCCAACTGCTACGCGTACGGTCGCGTCGCGGCTTTCTGCTTACTCCTTCGTCGACACACTCTCCTGCACTGTGTACAGCAAATCCACCCACTTCGTGGACAATCCCGTCATTTGCTAGGCAGCGGATAGCTTCGTTCGATGTTACAACTTGAGTTACCTGTTTGTTTATGTGTAGAAACTTCGTAGTAAGCAGTAACGGACGGCCCAGAATTCAGTTGGAACTAGTTTTTACTCTCTTTGGAGCAGAGTCGTGTTGATCCGCATTTTTCGTATGGTTTATTAAAGCCTTCAAATATTCGATACCAGTGTTAACTTTTTATTTACTGCCTATGATAATTTTTTATGGCACGGTATTACATGTGATACAACCACTATGATGCTGAGATATCGGCAAAACTCCAAACCGCAGAGGTCTGCGGCGGGGACCGAACGCGTTATTACCCGTTTTGGGGCTAACGGGTTCACCACTACACTGCGAGAGTCTTCATAGTCACAATTGCGCTGAGATATTTGCAAAACTCTGTGCCACAGAGGTCTGCGATGGGGAACGAACGCGTTATTACCCTTACCGGGTACTAACGCGTTCACCACCACGCCATGCGGGTTCTTTGTTTCGCCTGTCTCTCAGCGTGTTCTACTGATTAGTGATATCAACAATCATTCGTCAACGGGATTGATCTAAGGAGCCCAAATCGGCAACGAACCGAGTT